GAGTCTCTTGCAGAAGTCCAAGCATAATGCAATGAAGACATTACAGGCCATTCTGGTGGGAATGGGTTTGAGAGATACTTCTCAGTTGGTTTACAATGCCTCGACGGTTAACTGGAACAGGAGGCCCTGGGAGTGGAAGCTGATGCTGAGTTCTTCATTCAGTCAGTCTACAGCATGGCTAGAATACCAGGAAAACAGACATATAAAGGACAGATTCGAGGAATTAAAATAAAGGTGTGTTGAGTTTAAGATTCCTAGGGCACAGTCAGGATAAGAATCTCAGCAAGGAAAGAGAGAGTTTCAACAGTAAAAGGAGAGTTAGCAATACTAAATGTTCCACCTATGCCAAGAAAGATAAAGACTAAAAAGTTGCCATAATAGAATGATTTATCCCATCAATGACAGACTGGATCAAGAAAATGTGGCACATATACACCATGGAATACTATGTAGCCATAAAAAAGGATGAGTTCATGTCCTTTGCAGGGACATGGAAGAAGCTGGAAACCATCATTCTCAGCAAACTAACACAAGAACAGAAAACCAAACACTGCATGTTCTCACTCATAAGTGGGAGTTGAACAATGAGAACACATGGACACAGGGAGGGGAACATCACACACTGAGGCCTATCAGTGGGTGGGAGTCTAGGGGAGAATAGCATTAGGAGAAATACCTAATGTCGATGGCGGGGTGATAGATGCAGCCAACCACCATCACATGTGTATTCCTACCTAACAAACGTGCAGCTTCTGCACATGTACCCCATAACTTAAAGTATTTTTTTTTTAAAAGTAGCCATTGAGTTTGTTGATTAGGATTTCAACCATGATCTTTGGGAGGACAGTTTCTGCAGAAGGGGATGGAAGCCAGTTACAGTAGGCTGGCAACAAAAAGAATGGTGAACATCAAACAGAAAATAGTATCTTTTTTGACAGAAATTTCAGTGTAAGGAGCAAGGAGAGTGAGAAAGTATAGCTTGAGAAGGAGAGTCGAGGAAAAAATTTTTAGGAAGGGATGTCTAGAATGTATTTTTATGTGGAAGGAAAGGAAGAGTGCATAGAGAATGGACCAAGAGATGTGACAAAGCAAGGTGGAAGAGGTGGAAGAACTGCCTCAGCGCTGAGAGGTTTACGAAGAGAAGCTCCCTGAGGGGTTGGTCTACTCCCCTCACCACTTGCCTCTTTAACTCAGGGTCTTACTTTCCCCTTCCTCCTTCTTTCAGAGACCGTCACTTTATCCATAATGGTACAACTGAGAGGAGCTATTAATACCTAACCCCTCTTTATTAACAACTTGGGGAAAACACACCATAAAAAGCACATTTAAACCCAATGTCCCTATCCTCTGAACCCACAGGCTGAGCCTTATGGGGTTCTGTTGAAAGCAATTTATTCTCCTCCTTGCTCCTGGGGGCCCTATTCTTTTCCTCCTCACTGCCTTGGAGCACCCATGAAGACTCAAGACACCATACCTGAGAGAAGGTGGTCTAAGGCTGTCTTCCAAATCCCTGACTCCTTCGTGTCTTTGGATGATTGAAGTTGGGATTAGCCATTCCTTCAGGGAAGACCCCATTCCAGCTTCTGCCATCCAGAGGGTAACAAAACCCCTTGGACCCAAAAGATCAATCACATTGGAGCAGAAGAGTCCAATAATCGTAGAAAACATACATAGATGGTTTCTGATTCAGGGTTAGCCTTAGACTGCAAGGGTGGTGGGTGAAGTAAGGGTAAGTGACGTGGAAGAAAAGTTAAAGCAGTTTATTTCTTGGTGCATTTTGTGAAGTAGAATCCTTGGACAACTGCTGAGATTGAGGGCCAGTGGGTTAGTAGGGATTTGGATAGTAACAGTTCGGAGAATAAAGATTTATGCCAATTAGCAAAGGGTAAAACATTGCCCAATATACCAGAGGCTCTGCTGAAGATGGAAATCATATACTTACAATACAGCCTGGCTATATGATTTTTTTCCACATTAGACTGGCAGTCAGGGGGCATGCACAGAGAAAGCCATGGTTACATTTATGCAAAGCTGTAGATTGGCAAGGTGGGCACAGCAGAAGGACAAGAATGTGAGGGGTCTAGGATGCTAGTGAGAATGTGGTTGCATTGAAGGTCTTGGTCATGAGGCCAAGGCTAGGTAGGGGAAAAAGGTCTAAAAAGGGGTACTTACAGACTAAGGGATTGGGAAAGGTTAGAGAAAGTACAGGTCTTGCTAAGACTGGCAGGTGGGTTTAGGGGAAGTAAGATAATGGGACCAGTGAAAGGGCAGAATTTCTGGGTAGACAATGAGTTTCCAAGTTTCAGATTTCAGAGATGAAATATTCCTGGGGTTGGGATGTGGGAGTGGGTAGATGAAGAGAAGTAGGTTGGGAGCAACACATCACATATTGGGATGTGTAAAATGATGTGGTCATCAGATACCTGACTTCTTGAAACTCATGAAAATAAATCTGTCCATGAAAAACATATTGACAAGACCCAAAGAAATGCAGAATTTGGAAGGCATTTGCTAAGGTTTACTTATCACGCCATTTGGAGGTGGGATAGGAAAAAAACAGACCTCTCTGTAGACTTCATAAAGAACAATACGTGAAGACCTCAATTTGTGGATGTCTTTCCCTTAAGAGCGGGAACTAACAAAATAGCAAGTTTTATGTTCCATATTTCCGGCTTTTCTAGAAAAATAAGATGGTCTTGGCAGCACTGAGCCAAGACTCCCTCATGGTAGCAGTAAGATTCCTCACCAGATCACCAGATCACCTGAGTCTACCACCCCGTGTTGCCCCATTACACCTGGCCAGGTGTCAGTTGCTATTTATCAGTATGTTCACACATCTTTTTTAGAGTTAAAAGGAAAGTCAAATGTTTCTTGTGACAAGACCCTATCAAAATTAGAAAACCAGAAATGAATTAGGAAGAGTATTACTCTGTATTTGATATGCAAAGGATGTCATTGTTGAAAATCATACACTGTGATGCTATTATGAAGCACAATGACTCCTGTAATAAAATAATGGTAGATGTATAATCAAATACATGAGAGAGAATTTATAAAACCAGTGTAATAAGTTATTTTCGAGGGACTCACATTAGTCTAGCATATTGTATCCTTTTGCTAACTGAATAATCTTATCGAATTCCCAATAATTAGTAGATTCCCTCAAAATGCTACCAATAGCCACTGAAAAAACTTAATGAACTCAAAGAGTAGTTCCTCAGTGGCTGGAAAGCATAGATGTAATTCCCTGAGTGCCTAACTTCTTGGCAGCCATATACACTTGTGGAAGCTGGATCTAAGGAAAATGGGTGTAGGATCTTTAGTGTCAGAGGAAAAAAAATATGGAAATGAAAGCTTTTGGCAGGTCTAACTTGCCACATTAGTGCTCAGGAAAAAAGGCAATCAATCGCTACATATTTCTTGTTGTTGAGGATCATGATAAAATAAATATAATCTAAGCTGTAGGAGCATAATAGATTAAAATCAATCCCCTGGATTGAGCCAGGAAGCAAATGAGTAGCCAGTGTGGACCAGTACATTGATATAATCTGCAATTTCCTTAAAGCATTTTGGTCATCTACTTTCTGCTCTAGTTAGCATTTATGTTAAGCATATGAACAGCAGTTGAACATGAAGGCTCAGAGGTTGAACTGCATCTTTGGAGAAACAGAGGAAATAAACAGAGATTGAGGTTTGGGAAATGAAAATTGTCATAATATATTAAGGAAAAAAAATAATCTGAAGGCCAGGTACTCAGTGATTCAGAAAAAAAGTTGGAGAGTCCTAATATTTAGAGCCTGTGAACTGGAAACCAGATATGAATTCATAACCTATGAGGCCATAAATGATGGCAAGAAGTCAGTAAATTGAGACAGTGTTATTTTGAGAGACGAAAGGAAGATTCTTAAGGAACAGGGAGTCTGAATAGTTCAAGTTCTGGGGATTAAATTGATGATGCAAATAGAAGACAGTTTGGTGAAGAGTGACAAATGATTAAAATCTGAGATGGACTGAAATATGAAGAAAATTTAAAAGAGATGAAGCCATATATTGCTGGCATGATAGAATGAGATTTTAAAGGTATCTACTGACTTTAGACATTATGAACAGATTACTCATTAGCATGTAGATAAAATAAATTGGCATAAGCATCATGGAGCTACTTAGAATGGGCATTTTATTAATGTCTTGCCTATCTTATTGTCCTGCTCTGAAATGTAGTCTGAGGGAACCATTAGACAATATTTGCTGAGGAATGACTATGATATTTTGGCTGTTTTTATATCTCCAACTTCTATGAATTTCACAATGCCATGAAAATACTTCAGCAAGAATTTTGGGAAAATATTTACAATTTCTTCAATAATATTGCTCATGGAATATGAGGAATGAAAAGCAACCATTTAGTAACTGCAGAGAGACAAGCAGGAATGAGGAAAAACAATTACTTACTGAGCTATTTGTGATGGAAAAAAAAAATCTGAGTTTAGGTTATTAAAAAGCCTGTTGGGAGCCAAGCATTGCACATGTCAGCGGAACATGCTGCTTCCCTTCACCATGTCTGAGATATGGTACCTACAGTTGGGCTGTTTGTGGGATGAAGAAATGCTGCTACAACATCAGCGGGCGTGTGACCAGCGGCTTGTGGAAGACAAGCACTTATGGGGATAAAAAGGAACCTGGCACAGGCCTTGGGCCTCTGGCATCATTAGTTACAGGTCTGCCAAGATGCTTTGGGAAACATTTTAATTTAATGCCAACTCTATTTCAACGAAGCTCCCTGGTTTGACCTGTTGGGAGAGTCTAGAGAGTGATGGCTAGGTGTTCATTTTGAAGGGCATTGGTGAATCAGCTGGTGCTTCTATAAAAAGTATCCTGGGGGTTAAACCTCAGAAAGTCCCTACTCAGCCCAGAAAACTCACAGTGAGAGCCACAGGATCTATGACTGTCATAGCATTTTACTAGTGACTGGTAATTGCAGGGAAGATTAGATACTAACAGAAAAGACAGAGACACTTCTGCGTGTTTATTCAAAATATCAAAGTTAGAGAACTTGAAGAATAAAGATCCCAGCATCCTTTTTTCCTCCCTGAAAGCATACTCACAGGCTACTATGACTATAAATTTAATAAAGCAGATTAAGAACCTGATTTGAATTATTTCATTATTTTTTTCTGCAAAACTATCACAAGATAGAAAAAACATTTTGAAACACAACTACAAAAAAGAAAGAAAAGAGACTGAATACAATACTAAAGCACTGTCCTTCGATGTAAAACTGTTTCTGTTAGTGTGTAGGCCTAGGCTGGAAAGAGATGTACAAAAGCTTGTCTGATGGGTTACAAAAACACGAATCCAGAAGATCTGAAGAATTAAAACGCCCCCAAGAATAACATGAAAGTATTTGATGTTGGTTCAGGGGCAAGGGCGAGTATGTATATGTACGTACAGCCCATTTCCTCAGAGGCTCCTTGGCAGTTACAACACTGTGCTAATGAAAGCAAGGGCCTTAAGTTCACCCCCCTGCGGACTATCAGTTTCTCCTTCTCGCCCTGCGGGGACTGCATTCCTGGAAAAGAAAACACAAGAGTTAGGGAAGGGCTGGGGTGCTAGAGAGGGCAGGAGGCTGGAGCCCACGGAGCCTGGGATGGAGAGGTGGGTTGGCCCAGGCGTGGGGTGTGGGTTGGCACGGGGGTGGTGGTGGAAGGGTTGGAGTGTCACGCTTCGGAGGTTTGGGTCTTGTCTGGCTCCAGGGAGGGAGGTCCAGGTGAGATATTTGCGAGCGGAAGCCACACGACCAGCGTGGACTTTTAGGTCAGTCACTCCGCCTTAAGTGGGTGCGGGAGGCCCAGAGAAGGAGCTGGCTGTAGCGCTGCAAGTGGGATCCTGTCCCAAAAGATGAGCCTGACTTAGGCTGGGCCCCGCAGGCGGCAGGGTCAGCCGGCATCCCTGGCAGGGGAATCGGGAAGGTCACAGTGATAAATCTGTGTGTGGAGACTCAGAGGGCACGAAACAGGTCCTGCTTATGTCCTCTGCCTGTCACAGCCTGCCAGCCACCCCACCGCTCACCCCTGCCTCAGCATCCTTGCAACTAGTTGAATCAATCAGGAGCCCAAGGGAACGAATTGTTCTCTGTGTGAAATGGGTCTGACCCACTGGGGAAGTCGAGAGGAGCGTCCGCCTGGCCTTTTCCCGAGCTGGGTGGGAGAGAAACGAGTTCGGCGCGCGGGGCGGGGGCAGGGGTGAGGCGCAGCGGCCGAGATCCTGAGCCACGGGACCCTTGTTCCGGGCCCCGCGGCCTGCTCAGTAGTTGCCCCTCGGGGTTCCAGGCGGATGACTGACAGTTGCAGCAGCTCGGGGGAGGCGAGGGATAGGCAGGACTTGGGGCTCCCGTCTTCTGGGCTGTGAGGTCCCCGCGGCCCGATGACCCGGCCTCGGTGATAACCGCCGCGACGGCGGCAACCTCGAGCTGGAGCCAGACGGCTCGCGATGGGTCAGGGGGCGACCGAGGAGGGACCATGCGGCCTGTAGGGGGCAGCGCCGAGCTCGGGAGGAGACAACCGCCGGCGGGCGGGGTGGGTCCGGGCTGGCCCCTCCGGGAGCTGCCCCGGGGCGGCACGGCGACTGTCATACCCGGCCGCCCCTGCCCGCCGTGCGCTTCCTCTCGGCGCCGCGGGCCTCAGCCGGGGCCCTGAGGGTACGTGACAGGGCTCGGCACGCGGCGGCCTCTGGGGAGTTAGGGTCCGGAGAGACCCGCGCGTCGCCCCCAGCCCGAGGCCGGGAGACCCTCGGGAGACGCCTCCGAGAGTCCGGAGAGCGTCGGGGCGGCCGCCGCTTCCCCCAGCCCTGCGCCGGAGGTGGGCGCCCTTTCCTGCGTGGCGGGTGCTCAGACCCCCGGGGTGGTTGCTCTGAGCCCCGGGGGAGCGCGCCCCGAGCCCCTGACGTGGGCGCCCCGTTACCTCGGGGTGGGTGCCTGGGGCTCCTGAGGTGGGCGCGGGTGGCCCCGGGGTGGGCGCCCGGCCCGCGCGGGTTATTTTTGGCGCCCGCAGAGGCGCGTGTGTCGGGGCGTGTTTTCCTTCCCCAGGTGCCGCGAGTCCGGGCTCCGCCGGCGCCCAAGCTGACTCGTCTCTCTTCTCTCCCCTGCAGGAATCTTCCGATAATTCTGCCGCCGCGACTTTAACCGTGCGCAAGGCGAGAGCTCGAAACAAACATCACATCTAAATTAAAAAAAAAAAAAAAAAAAAGCGGAAGAAGCGGCCGAGGCGGCGGCGGCGGCGGCGGCGGCGGGAGGAGGAGAGGAGGAGGGGCCGCGCGCGGCGGCCCTAGGCGGCGGCGGGGACGCGGGGACGCGGGGACGCGGCTTTGTGCAGGCGGGTCGCGGGGCGCCCATGGCGGAGTGCGGCCGGGGGGGCGCCGCCGGCGGGGCTCTGCCCACCTCCCCGGGCCCGGCCCTCGGCGCCAAGGGCGCCCTGAAAGCCGGAGTGGGGGAAGGCAGTGGCGGGGGAGGTCGCCTCGGCCACGGGCGAGCGCGCTATGACAGCGGCGGGGTTTCCAACGGAGACTGCAGCCTCGGCGTGTCCGGGGACGAAGCCCGGGCCAGCCCCGCCAGGGGACCCCGCGGCGTTGCGCTCGCCCCGACCCCCAGCCCGGCCGTCTGTCCCCTCCCCCGGGAGAGCAAGCCGGGCGGCCTGCCCCGCCGGAGCAGCATCATCAAGGTAGGTGGAAGAAGGGCGCTCATCGCCCACCCTCAGCCGTCCTTGGGGTCTGTTTTCCCCTTGGGGGAGTGGTGGTGGAAGGAGGAAGCCCACTGCTAACAGGAACCACTGGAGCATGGGTGCTTGGGGTGGTTGAGCGGGGATTGGATGCAAATGGCATGTGGAAAGAATGGAGAGGTGATCCCTAATGTGCAGGGGGAGCTATGCTCAGACATCCCCAGTTGAACTTGGGGCTGTCACCTCTTGAGGATGGGTCCGGCATTAGGGCCTTGTACCTGCCTGGGTAGGGCATGCTCTTGTGTGTAGCCTAGTTTGGTTAACACTCCCTGTAAGATTTCTATTGTATTTTAAATGCAGATAGAGATCATGTGAAATGTAAGAACATTTTCTTAAAAATCCCAGGCGGCGAACAGAGGGTGAACAGAGATTATTTAATAGGTTTCTTCTGATCTGTGCATAGTTACTTGCCTCTTGCAAATGGTTACACTTCGAGGGTGCAAAATCTCCCAATCTCCGGCCACTCAGTCACAAAGAGAAATAGAGTAGATTTCTGAACATAAATGCAGATTTCCGTTTTCTTAGGCTCAAAAGCTCTGAGAGATTACATTACAGTTCCACACGATTTAATCTTTTCCCTTACTGCAGTAGGCAGGCCTCGAGTTCTGTGAAAGTTCTTTGGGGCAGTTTGCTTGGTTTGTACAGTGTTAGCGGAAGAAAGCCGGCGATTGTTTTCAGCATTTTAAACTCTAAGAAGCAGTATTAGGAACTCCCGAGTAAGTTTGTGTTGGTTTCATTCTAATGTTACATTTTGGTCCACAATGTAAAAATATTTCTCGTGACATGGAGTGAAAAAAAAAAAAGGATGAGCTAAGAAGAGCAGAGCCTTAGGCAAGACCAGCTCATTTGGCTTGCTCAAGTTTGCAGCAAATGAAAACATTGCTTTCTGAAAAGCAAGGAGTTATTAGGACAGGGAGCAACAAAACATATTGACAGACTGCACCCACCCTTCCTGTGGCTGACAACTGGTGGAGAGAGGGCAGAACGTGCCACAGTGAAGAGAGTTGGCAGTGGTAGTATCTGAAATTTTATTGGACTTACAGAAATCTTCCAAGTACTGTGAAAATGTCTGATGGTGTTATCAACTTCTGCAGTAATCTAGTGAAATATACCATCTTGCTACTGTATGTAAGAGGCAATTGTGAAACTACATTTCGCTTTGTCATCTGTTTGCACAGTTTACGTCTGGGCAAGGACACAATTTGAAGGGCTTAGAGATCAAGTGTATTAACTACCTGCAGCACACACTTAGAGGTAAACTAAGAAAAGGAAAGTGTCTTTTTGCTGCACACATGGCTTTTAGTGACTTATGTTTTCTTTTACTCTATAGCTTATGTTTACATGGAAGTTCCTTTCAACTGTGCATGTCAATCCTATTGACAGAGTTATGTGACATTTCTGTTTTTATTTGTTATTAAATATTTGTGGTGGTTTTGCATTGTAGTGTTAATGAAATTTGAGGTGAAAATTCCAGAGAAGATACTAGCCTATCTAATTTTAACCCCTTTCTTTTAGTTGTTTTGAGAACTTGTTTTTGCATTTAAAAAAATCAGACTTTAGTCTCCACAGTGGAATTCATAGTGTAACTTAACTGAATTACAAAAACATTTGTTTTAATTTTATATTAATGGGTAATAAGGAAGAAGGATGGTTTGTTAGTATTTTTGATATATGGAATTGAAAACTTGTCAGTAGATAGCACTTCTTCATTGAAGGCTCTAGAATCTAGTACATAGAAAAAATGATTAGTTGTTCAAAAATCACTGGTTTTAGAAATGATATTGACACTTATGTTGGATTCTGAAACTTTCAAGGACTTTTTTTTCATTTTTCTTCTTCGTAAAGGCATTTGGCTTTTTGTTCTCCAATGTACCCCTAGATACAAAGTGCCAGGAACATAGTAGCAGCTCAATTAATTGCTTATTGAATGAATGGAGAAAGCACATGTTTTCTCTGAGTTCTGTTAATTTATAAAACAGTTGGTTTTGGATTTACCAGTCTCATATTTTGTTCGTTGTATTGTACCTCCAAAGAAGGCTTGACACACTCCTTTTTCTTGCCTCTGTTTTCACTTTGCATTTTCTTAAACTTTTGAAAATTATGGAAGTAGTGTTGAAAGTTGATCAAGACTGTGTTATACAAAAAAGAGGATGCTATATTTAAATATACTTGGTATATTTCCCCTTGAACTGGTGCCTTGAAGCATCAAGATTTTGGGTATGTATTGTGGTATTTTTTAAAGACAACTTCCAGCATCGGGACAATACCCTAATAGAAAACAAGGTCTTTAACATAAAATTTCATGAAACTGATACAGCACAGATAGTTTTGTCATGTGAATGGCAGAACTTATATTTCACTTTTGTTTTTTAAAAAAAAGAATAAAAAGCTAAAGCAGAAGCCCATGTGAAAAAGCAATAGTGACATCTTCCTTTGGTTTCCTTATTATTATTATTATTATTATTATTATTATTTTTAAACATAAAGGATGAATGCAGTCAGGTGGTCTCTGAGTAGAGGCAGGAGTAGATTAGTAAGCAAGGTGATAATTGGGAACTTGAGGGAATAGCAGGGAGCAAATGCTACCTAGGGAACTGAGGCCAGTATTTATGGGTTTGTATTCGTTGCGTTGAAATGTTGGGCTTCTGAACTGTGCTTCTCTCCTAGCTTCCATCTTCATTACAGTCTTGACAGCCCTCTTTGATGGAGATCCTTAAATCAGAGGGAGAAATAATGGCCTAAATGTGATGTAAGTGGGGCAAAGAAAGGGGACTATTGCTAAAGTGCAGGGCATATACAGAAATACACCCTAGGCTGATCTGCATCTTATTCCTCATTTAAAATAATTTATTTGGTATTCCATCTGTTTTGTAAATGTGGTGTTGAGTAAGAAATTGTTGTAAAACAATATTTTCTGCCAAAATAGATGCACAGATCTATACTAAAAGAACTCCTTGGTTATGGTAACAGTGTTGATGAAAATTCAGAGTGAGCAGCCTTGTAGAACCTTTCACAAATACCTTGAGATGTTAATCAAATTGTGGAAACCATCACCAGACATTTCTACTTTTCCTTAGCTTACTGAAAATAACGATAGAGTTTTGAGATTATTTACAAAGGCCCATTATGGATTTTAGAGAAGAAGCCATTATGTTTGTCATCTTAAGTAATCTAGTAAACAAAAACATCACTTTCATTTTCTCTTTCCATAATTCATTTCATCACTCTATTCAATATAATCTATGCTTTATTTTGAAACAGTTAATTTTGTTAATTGTTCAGATGGCATCCATTATTTGCAAATAGCTCAATCCTTGAATTCAAGAGCTTGGTCTAAAAATATGAAGTAGCATTTTAGGCCTTAGATTTCTGTTTAAGTTTAGAAATAAATGAAGTTTAAATGTCTGTTGCTGTGGATGATTTATTTTAATCAGATCTAGTTAAATACTTTGGTTGATACTTTAAAAAATGAGGTATGATTTGCAAACAGTAAAATTCACACGGGTTTGTGTCCAGTTCTGTGAACTCTAACCAATACATTCGGTCATATAATCACCACCATCATGAAGATACAGGGCACTTCCATCACCTTCAAAAACTCCCTTAAGTCTCTTTGTGGTCTTCCCCTACCCTCATCCCCAGACAATGGCAACCATTGATCTTTGGTTCTTTTTTAATCAGTAGGAAATTCAGAAGCAATAATAGTAGCCAACATTTATTAAACACTCACTGCATGCAAAACATGTGAAAAGTGCTTACCGTAATTCTCTGACTTGGTCCTGTGCTAACCACAGAGACAGAAGGAAATCAGAGTTCAGAGAGGTTAACCCCGTGCCCCAGGTGCTGGAGTGGCTTATTGTATCCCACTTGGGTATGGCTGCACTCCATTGCTTTCCCACATTACAATGGCAGTTTGAATTTTCTCTGTAGTTAAGGTAGCAACAGTGAGACACTGGATTTGATTGTCCTCTTTAAATGGAAGAGATATTGGAAGAAGGAAAAGAATCTCTCTGCTGGTGGAAGAAGTTGGCAGATAATATAGCCAGGCAGTTGATTAGACACCTGTTGTGACTTGACCAGGGCTTGCAGCGTCGCAGTGACCAATGGTCTGACCTTGCCCAAGGTGGCAGCCCTAATTTTTCTTAATATAATTATTGCTTTTATCATAGTATCAGGTTGTGTAGGAGAAACACTTTTACTATCTTTATGCTAATATGTTTACCTATGGCTTGACACTGAGCTCTCCAACATGGACAGCAAGCAGCCTTTTCACATCTGTTATACACATTTAAATGAAATAAAACTTTATATGTGTCTTGGCCCATGGTTTAAATAAACTAGGCTCCTTGCAGGCAAAAGTTGGGCTGTATTTACCAGCTCTGCACAGATAACAAACACTCAATAACCATTTTTTAATGGGACCTTAAAAATAATACCTGCATTTGACTTTAGACATTTTTTTTTTGAATGGGAGGAAATAAAGATACTGCATGCCCAGCAAACCTGTGGGCACATCGTAAATAATTAAACAGACAGTAGCTGGATAGCAAAGTGAATTTGTCTGGATAGATAGGGAGCCTGGATCATTTAGGTCAGAAAAATCTAATGGCCAATCAGCAACTCCCCACTTTACTTTGTGCTAGCTAATACATTTTAGACCACACAAGATAACTGTTGAAAGACCAGAACGTGGTTGTTTGTTTTAGCCTGCTCAAAGTGCTTTTGTCACAATTCAATTTGTTTTCAAAAGCAGAGCATATTAATTTTCATACCCTAAAATCTACTTGTTCCCTTTTGCGTTCCATTTTCCAGCCTCCCCCAAATGGCTGTATTTGATTTGCATTGTTTTTTTTTGTTTGTTTTTTGTTTTTTTTACCAAATCCAAATAGGCAACTGACAGAAAATTGTTTATTTTATTAATTGCTGATATTGGCCACTTAAGTTACTTTCTTAGAATGCTCTATCCGAGAATCTGTTCATTCCTTTTATAGTTCTTTGTGCTCTGCAAAGGGCCTAAACTAGAATGCTGTTTACTTTCTTTTTTCATGCTTAAGTTACCAAGGCCTCAATATTCAACACAATAGGGCAATGTTATTTACAGCCTAAATGCAGATATAAATGATGTACAAACATTTGTAGTTTTTCTTCAAACTTTATGTGTTCAAGACTAGATGCTTTATTTCTTCTTAATACTAAGTTTTGGATGCCAGTTATTTACTTACCTACCAGACTTTTGGATTAGTTTAACTTTTTTTTGTTCTATATTGGTGGGATTTGAATATTTTTACCAGTGGGCCACAGGATCTGTGACTATTACGTTTGTAAGCTGCCTGCCCAGCTTTTTTCTCCTGATAAGAATGGTAAATCCAGAGGATTGTGCTTAGCATGAGTGTCATTTGTGACTCAAACCGAAGTCAGAGCCTCTAGAGCCAGCCACTCTTCTTTGTATCAGAATAATTCCATAGCTTAGGGTGCCCAAAGTATATAACTCATTGCATTGAGCTTCAGCAACAATTATGTGCATGGTCCAGGCTTCTGGCAGGATATTTGGCACCTGCCCATTCCAGAATGGCAAACCAGTGCAGGTTGTTAGGCCCTCTTACCACTAGCACTTGGTCCCATGGCAGGGGTAATTAGGTAAAAAGGTGTTTTAGCTAGTACTCTCAGCTGGGCTGCATCCTGGGGTTGAGGGCTATCCCCAGGCCACGTGTTGCGTGTCTGGATTATTCAGGAGGCAGAATAGTGGTGGGAAAAACAGAAAATCTGGAGTTTGGTGCTTGGATTGGATCCTGGCTTCTCTGGCTCCTTTCTCTATGGCCTTGCGCAAGATACTGAAATCTGTATGTCTAGTTACTCCATCTCTAAAACAGGTAGAAGAAAATCTCCTCTTATACCATTGTTGTGAAGATTAAAGGAGATGATGTGTGAGCAGTGTGTGGCACTTAATAAGCTTTAGTATGTTTTTCTGATTTTATTTAGAATTATCCTGAGATGAGCAGACTAACATGGCCATATTGGTTTTAGAAGTTTTGTCTTTTGAAATATGCAGAATATGCCTAGGGAAATTTCTCAGACGTGTTCCACAGATGCTCTCAAGAATTATTTGTTTTGGTGCCTTTCTAAATCTGATACCTCAATACAACTGCGCACATATGTAAATAGCCCCAGCTATAGGATCAGAGGGTATTGAACATAAAATTTCATTGTGCCAAGCACCCACATGTCTTGCTTTGCCCAGGACAATCCAGATTTACATCTTTTGCTGTGACAAGATTATTAATAGTACCTCCTTTAACTCTCAAAGGCATCTCAGCTTGGATGACAAGTAATATGATCGTCTTACTTGTAATCCTCTTTTCACAAACTGCCTTACAACTACGCTGAAGCCCCATGAGATTGCCCTCGATGCCTAAACTTCGCCTTTACAGTGACACCTCTCTTTCCTCAGGTTTCCTTCTCTCTTTGTCATCTTTAAGGTTTTCTTCAGTTAACCACCTCCCAGTTAGAATGAATTATTTCTCTGCCTTCCAGCCACCACTCTCCCTGTATCTCCATACAGTCCTTCTGGTTCTTAGGCAACTACATCTTATCCTGAATTTATGATAACACCTGGTTTAATGTCTTGCAAAAAAATATGTGTTTAAGTATATATTTGTTGAATAAATGTGTGAATAGATAAATAAGGGGACAAGAATGAGTCTTAGGAGTTTGATGACGATGTTATTTGGACTTAATTCCAACTGGTTTTGATTGGGATATGTGTTTCAAAGAAGAAATTTATTCATGTACATAATTTTGAAAGCAAAGGAAAGGAAATACCTCCATTTAAAGTTGGATCCAGGAGTTTGGTTGATTCTGTAACTGTCCTGTAAGATGTTAATATAAATGATCTGTCTCTTGTGTGCCCTGAAATAAGAATAAACCTTTGACATTTTTTGATTTATATTCTGTCTTAAAAAGGATGGCAAGAAACCATTATTGTTTGCTAAGGCATTTAATCTCTTTTCTGGTATTTAGTTTCTTTAAGTGATACCTGTAATTTTTGCTCAGTTTTTATTTTTGAGGAACTAAATTACTTAAACTTCTATTGTAATTAATACGTATTGGCTAGTCACAGGGTATTCATTGGAAGTGCTATAGAATTAATAATTAAAAAGAAAATACATAAGGAACCTGAAGTATTGATAGAGTTGTAGGAACGAGATTGCTAATCCTTCAGCATGTTTTGTCATGTAATGGTAGAAATTCTGCCCTTTGTTGCAGTGCAAGAACTGGGTGAAAAAGAGATACACTAAGAAATGTTTTGTCTGCATTATCTCATGCAAGTCTCACCAGAACCTGCAAGGAGACATTATCATTCTCCTTACAGACAAGGAAACCCATTTTACAAGGTTTGGGAATTTCCAAGCAAGGTTAGAGACTCCTAAGAGACAAAGCCAGCATTTAGACTAGGTTTGAATGCTCCACATTTGGACTGCTCCATCACCGTCTCCCACTCCATCCTCTCGGTGATTTTGATTTTTCCTTTCTTCTTCTACTTGCCCAAGCCATTCTGACTTCCTGAGCTTAGCAGTTTCTTCTAGTACTAAAATAGACAACTAATTTTTAATGAGAAAAGTTTGGCTTTTTGAGGCTGAATCTTACAATGAAACCAATGTACATCTAACCAACGTGAAGCAATAGCCATAGTCCTGCCCATCATGCCTTAAGTTTCTGTCTGATCCACAAACCAGGACCTTGTCCTTTTCCTCTGTAATCTCCTTTGATGAATTAGAAATTATTTTAGGAGGCTTAGTTTCCATTTTTGTTTACTTTTTAACAAAAAGTTGATTTATAGTTTTACACATTTTAGGGTCCTGGAAGGTAAAGCAGGTAACAGTTATTAACGGTTTGTTTTTTAGGTGAACTTCTTAGGATACCAATTTCTATGATTGTTTTGGAATTGTCAACTAATTATAGAATTTTATAGTACAGTAATACAACATGCCACTAGGTAGCCAATACTCAGTATATTTTTGGAGTGTGCTAAATGTACTGATTTGATTATTGCAGATACTAGCATCCCAGAAACCAAGTAGCTGGGTTTAAAAGTGATTAATAATGGAGATTCATGGGATTTTCACAACAGAAAGAGATCATGTAAAATTCTTTTGTAGTTAGAGATACACAAGGCCATACTGATTAGTACATTTAGCTCCTAGCTATGGTTGAATTCATTTATTTGCATATTAGCATAACAGAATTGGAAAAAATTGTTATGTAATACTGCAGTATGTGGATATTAATAGAACAAGATGTGGTCTTCTAGACAGCTATGTTTTGTGAATTTGTTTTCTGCTATAGATAGCTGTATGTGTACACATGCTGTACATGTGTATGCATATACCCTGAAGACTTTATAAATAGTAAAGATTAAGAGCAAACCAAATAATGTAGTGATAGGTTAACTCAAATCCTGTCTCTCTGTCAGAGACTGATGGACTGATGGGTAGCAGGCGTATGCTCTTTAAATTGAAAATGCTCAGGAAGGGATAGGCTGTTCTCTGTGAGCATTGCTGATGAAGCCTCTGTTGCTTTTGACCAATTAGTGTGGTCACAGAGGGATAAGTGACCTCATTTGCAGCCACCATCAGAATTATAAGCCATACAACTCTCTCCATATGGTTTCCTGCTACCTTTTTCACCCTAAACTCTGATATTATGTAGGCATAGTAGATGTAATTTTTCAAGTTGTTTATGTGGTTTAATGTTTATTATTGAAGAAAATAAAGGACATTGCTTAGATTTTTATTTCTATCAACCCATGCTAATAGCTTATATATATGCCAATATAATTATTCAGATATTTTCATATTGGAGCTAATAGAATTCCTGTTGAAATAGCAATTTTGAGAATGTCTTCATCTGTGGAGTATTTGATGATTTGTTGAAAGAGATCTGTATGCTCTTTGAAAGCTTTACCTGGCTTATATATATGTCCATAAATAATTTTCTATACATTAAAAATAATACTAGAAGTA